GCAGGGGAGCTCCCGCAGCGGGGCCTGGCTCGTCCGGAGCGGGAGCTATTCCTGCTCCCCACAAAAGCCTCGAGTAATTCCCAGCCATTAATTTAACGATACGTTTGGTCTTGAGCTGCAAGATGTCAATGGATGGATCTGGGATGTGGCAGGGCGACTGGGCCGCTCCGGGGGGTCGGTGGGCATCGGGGGAATTGCCCCAGGGACGGTGGCCAGAGCCACCGCCAATCCAGAGATTACTTTGTTTCTGCGTAGCTTATGGCGTTCTGAGAGTCCAATTGCAGTTGGCTTTCAGCTGACATCAAAGTTTCTGTCGTAGCATCCAAGATCGACGTTTAGTTTCCAGTTGCACTGAGCCCTCTGAATCCCTTAACAGAACTGATGCCTGAATTACTCAAGTTTAAGTCATTTGTAGCAGCTGCTGATAAAAGTTGCATTTATTTTTCAGCTTCCTGATGGAGTAAATATTTCCAAAGAAGCTCGGAGCGCAATATCTCGAGCGGCAAGCGTGTTTGTGCTTTATGCAACATCATGGTAAGAATTTGTTGCATCGGATGACCAGTCCTGGTGATGTTTTTCCCAGTGTTTGTTTTGGGATTGTCCATTTATATAAATAAAACAATCCTTAGTGTAGGCCAGTCTGCAGCAGTTGGGTTTGGGCTGCCCTTAACAACCCCTGGGGAAGGCAGCTTGGCTCTTTACACAGAGAAGCCCCAGCCCCCCTGGGGACAAGAGGGGTCCCAAACTGCCGTTAGCCTTAGAGTACGGCTGCACAGCTTTTCATAGAATCACAGAATCGTTTAGGTTGGAAAAGCCCTTTAAGATCCCCAAGCCCAACCGCTCCCCTAACCCTGCCATCCCACCACTAAACCCTGGCCCTAAGCACCTCCTCTGCCCGGCTTTTAAATCCCCCCAGGGATGGGGACTCGACCCCTTCCCTGAGCAGCCCCTTCCAGTGCCTGACAGCCCTTTCGGGGAAGGAACTTTTCTCAATGTCCAACCTAACCCTGCCCTGGCACAACTTGAGGCCGTTTCCCCTCATCCCATCACCCGTTCCCTGGGAGCAGACCCCGACCCCCCCCAGCTCCCCCCCCCTGTCAGGCAGTTGTAGGGAGCGATAAGGGCTCCCCTCAGCCTCCTCTTCTCCAGGATGAACACCCCCAGCTCCCCCAGCTGCTCCCCATCAGCCTTGGTCTCCAGACAGCTCCTTTGCTTTTCCTGGCAAAGGCACCAGCCCTTTGTTCGCTTTCCAAGCTATGCACCACGTGGCTGCATTAGGGCAAGCGTGACCCAGCCTAGTCTGCCTTGGAGCTGGCCACAAGGGACAGAGTAACGTCTCCAAGGTGGCTTAGAACGTGCTGTGCAGGTGGCCGCTTCTCTGGGGTTAAGTACTCGCATGGCTTTGTGGAACTGTCGCCTTGCAGCCAATGTTCAGACTTTCTCCTTCCAACCCAGTTGTAGAAAAGGTCCCCACAAGCAGAAAACTAATGTTGCGGGAAAGCAGTGCAACTAGAGGAAAGCACAAGCAGCCAATGCAAACGAGAAGGTATCCTAAACTACTATTAGTAAGTGATTAAAAAAAAAACCTGCATGTTTAGGACATGGCTTTTTCTTTTAAGTTGCTTGTGACTTTAATAAACAAGACTAAATGTGACTTTAATGAACAGGACTAAACTGATGACAGTACCAGTTCATTCTATTTCCCTTCTTGTTTTTGACCAGCGCAAATAACTTTGCCATGAAGGGGAAGAGGAAAACGCTGAACGCTGGCGATGTTCTCTCTGCCATGGAGGAAATGGAGTTTCAGCGATTTGTAGCCCCTTTGAAAGAATCACTGGAAGGTAATGTCCTCAGCTCATGTTGGGGGAGTCTAAGCAGCACCAAGTCCTGTTTTCCTCAAACACTGGACAAGCAACGCTTACTTGCCTGTCTTGTTTCTCTTCTCTTTGCCCAGCATCCTACACTGCAGTTTGCCTGGGGAGTAAATAATGTGCACCTTAACAGGACTGGGATAACATTATTTCACAACTGATGAGGATTGGGAAAGTCTCATCTGCTCTCACTCCCCTATTATGTTTACCTAAGGAAAGTCTTAGGTGCTGCCTGTAAATGTGAACTCCTGCGTCCTTTTCAGCAATTTTCTGCTGAAACTTAAGGTGATTTCCTATGGAGCTGGTCAGCACAGCTCAGATAATGGGGTGAGTTGCTGCTCTGAGTTCACTGCTCCCCTTGTAAGCCCGGAGAGCAAGTGGACATTGGACTTGAGCTACTGCACCATTCATGCCATGGAAACGCCGGCTTGCAATTTTTCAGTGTTCTCTCTTTTTTTTTTTTAGTTTACAGGCGTGAACAGAAAGGAAAGAAAGAAGCAAGGAAAGATAAAGACAAGAAGGCAGACTCAGAGGAGCAAGATAAGAGCCGAGAGGAAGAGAATGATGACGATGATGAAAGGATGGAGGAAGAAGAGCAAAATGATGAGGAAGAGGTGGACAACTGAGCTTGCTCATGAGACGTGTGCAGGGGCTGGGTTTTGTTCAGAGAGATATAAATGCTGTAAATCAATCTTGCTGTGTGCCCTCTTGTTTCCAGTAGAGCTTCGTATTGTTCCTCTGGGGCCCGTCCCTTTTTGGCTTTAACTTTTACTTAAAGGACTTCTGTAAAGCTTTTCTCGTGGAAGGACCACTCCTCCCCGGGTTCTGAAGAGAGCAGCGGGACTGGGCTTTTTATGCTGGGTTGGCTCTGAAATAGAGGGGAAAAGGAATGTCGGATGTGCAGTACAGAAGCTGGCCAGGAGAACTTGAGAGACCCTTGAATAAGCTCGTTAAACCAAGTCAGGGGCTGAATCAAATAGATCATTAATCCTTTGGGGTTTGGAATCTACACGATGATGTCCGGAGCCTTGGAAGCTGAGCATTTGAGCTTTTTATCCAAGTGACTTGGTTTTTTCCTTCGTTTTCTTGCATTCTGGCTGTGCCTTCTCTTCCTGCTGTAACTGTGACAGCCATACTGTGTCCTTTGACCTTCCCAGTCGTCTACAGCGATACAGTACGACTGTACAAGGACCAGTGGTCCCTTTGGCTGACTTTCTGCCCCAAATCAACCTAAATCACAAAACTCCAGAGCACTTAGGATGTAAACCAAATAACAAAAGTGCTTGGTTCGTGTCTTTGAAGCCCCAGGAGAGCAAGAGGACTTCTATTAAAAATCTGAAGCAAAATTAATGGCTGAAATGGGTATTAGGATGACAAAAGGTGGCTGTATCAAGTGCTGCGTTTGTTGCAGGGCAGCAGTAGGCACCAGTGGATCGGAGGCTCTCGCCTTCTTTCCCTCCTTTGCAGAGCTGCAGCTCCTGCAGACAGGTTGGTGATTGCAAGCAAGTCTAAATACGGTAGAATCGAGTGCTGGATTTTGGTGGGTTGGGGTTTTTTTCCTGACTGGAATGGACTAATGACATCAGAAGTCCCTCTTTAGCCTTCGGCAGTCATCCCAGAGACACAGGCTGCTGCCCAGTGCCATGGGCTCCTGGAGGGAGGCGAGGTTGGGACGCTCCTACCTAGGAACGTTAGCCTCTGGCTTTTAAAATCTCTCCTTCAGGAAAGATGGGTTGAAACAAGATGTTTGTGTTCCTCATGCTCCGATAGGTTTGTTCTTCTACACTTTCTTAGTTTTGATGCCTTTCTTTTCTCTTCTCTGAGAAAGTATCTATTGGAGTAAGCTCCTTTTGGGGGGAAAAACAGCTTTATTATTTGACTGATCTTTTTGAAGATTCATAAACCTGGTATTTGAACCTGGTATTTAACCGAGGTCTGGTGAATGAAATTTGAGGAAAGTTTTATAGAATCATAGAACCATTTGGTTGGAAAATACCTTTGAGATCATCAAGCCCAACTGTACCTGTCCACCACTAAACCCTGTCCCTAAGCACCTTGTCTGCCTGGCTTTTAAATCCCCCCCAGGGATGGGGACTTGACCCCTTCCCTGGGCAGCCCTTTCCAGTGCGTAGGTAAAACTTTCAGGTATAAGTAAAAACAATGAGTTTTGCTGATGCGCAGTTTGAAAACAGCACCTGTGAGGAACATGTGTCCTTTTCACCAAAAAACTTGATGCAGAGCTACTCACAAGAGCTCCCCTGCCTTCATGCTTTTACAGCCCGATGGCTTTTCACACACGCAAGCCCAGCTCCTGAAAACTGAATCAACAAAGATGTTCTGCTGTCTAGTTTCTACTGTTGTACAGTCAGGAGCAGATGAAAAGATTTGAGTTGATGACATCCTCCCAAGACCTCCAGTAACAAAAAAGGCCTGCCTTCTGGCTCCTGGTTTTTTTTTTCTTCTTTTTTCATCTTCTAGTACATCTGGGGTGCATATTCTGGAGGGGAACAATATCTAAATAAAAAACATTTTTTTACAGAAATGGAATCTCTTATTTCTGTCAGTGATAAAAGGGGATGGCTGTGGTTGCATAAGCACGCATCTGAGCGTGTGGGGAAGGCAGAAGCAAACTTGCTATGAAATTGCTAACAGAGCAGCTGACAGCGAAGGGAGAATGAAGGCAGCTGCACCCCAAAGTGCTGTTCCATGCCCCCCCACCACCCCAAGACCCTGCTCCACACACCCCCAGCACCCCAAAGCCCTGCTCCAGACCCTTCCAGAACCCCAAAATCCTGCTGCAGGCCCCTACACACCCCAAAACCCAGCTGTATGGCCCCACAGC